TCCTTGCTTTATCAGTTACCATGGCAACCAGAAAGAATTGATATTTCGTAGATTTTTGCAAGAAATGTAATAGTTCATAATGAATTTACATTCCTCTATGTTTGGATGATCATGTTTATTTTTAATACTGATGTGAATTAAGATAATTTTTGTTTCTCCTGCTATTTGAAAATTAACATCAGATTTGTGTGTAAATGAAATACTGATTTGAACAGCAGACATACTGCTGTGTTAGGTGTAGTTTAGAGTGCAGGTTAGTCTAGATAATATATACATACATAGTTTTAAGTTTAAGATATGCAATCTTGAAAAAAAATCTTAATCAGCATCAGGTAGAAGATTCTATAAAAGATGTTCAATTGATTTTAACAATACTGGGTTAATATATTGGCTTTTTAATTTGAAATGTTAAAGTTGTCATAGGCAACTTGTCTTAATCAATGTTTTTTAATCTTGTAAATATATTGTCTTTAGATCTCTGTTTTTGATTGCATCATTTCATTTTCCTGTCTTCAATGTTAATTGTTTTTGTTTTGTTTTTTGTAATCATTTTTCTATCTGATGTATTTTGTTTGTTTACAAAGGCATTGCCATGGCAAATTGAAAAAAAAATAATATGTATATTCTAATCATGTTTTATGCAGAATTTTTTTTCCTGAAAACTAACAAAAATGGCTGTGTAACTATTCTGTATTTGGAACTTTTGGAAAAAGGAAAGGAATCTTTTAAAACAAAATCTGTAAGATAGAGGGAGAAAAACAAAAATATTCAATGAGGGAAACTAACTAACTTCATTCCATTGAGCTACCACACCCAAATGTGATAAGGGGAGATAATTTGCCTTTTCTATCCTCTATTAGATGTCACACCCTGATGTTGTCAGGTGACTTTCCATGCTAGCTTTACTGTTATCATGCCCTGATGTTGTCAGGTGACTTTCCATGCTAGCTTTACTGTTATCACACCCTTATATGAATAGGGGTCTGTATGGTTTCAACACCAAAATGCGATTAGGGTCTATCCCATCCTCAACAATATGATGTAGTTTGGGACTTTCTGCTTAATGGTTTTCAATGTCAAAAAGTAAATGTGGGACTTGGCATTCTTAGCCATTTGCATGGTTGCCATTCCCTGGTTTGATTAATTGAATTTTTCGACTGTGGCAATGTATAGCTTAACATATTGTATGATACATCAGTCTATTGTTAACCTGAAGATATCTGATCATTATTTGTTTTGTTGGATTGCTGTCTCATCATGTATACACATTTTTTTTTCACATTTCAATCACATTTAATTATGATACAGGGGACTTTCCATCCAATGTATATAAATGCCACACTCTGATGCAATATGGGGACTTTTCATATGTAGGTATCTGACTGATCACTTCCAAATTCAACTCGGGGATTTTTCTTTCTTAGCTTATAATGGGTTGCAGCAACCTGATGCACCAATGAGGGCCAAAACAATCTTAAAGATAAGGCAAAATAAAAGCAGTGTTAGAGTTCATAAACTTCATCAATGATATCAAATATAAAAAAGAAGATGTGGTATGATTGCCAATGAGACAACTCTCCACAAGAGACCAAATGACACAGAAATTAACAACTGTAGGTCACTGTACGGCCTTCAACAATGAGCAAAGCCCATACCGCATAGTCAGCTATAAAAGGCCCTGAAATGACAAATGTAAAACAATTCAAACGAGAAAAATAATATATATTTGTATGCAATATATAGGATTGTTGGTAAAAGAAATGAAAAATTACATGAATACATGTATAAGTTCCGGCTGATTTTGAATCAATGAATTTAAAACTCAATGCACGGTGGATTTAATATCCTTTTTAAATTTGATATGCCTTTCTTATTTTTTTTTAATTAAAGGTCTCTCTGAGGGAACTCCTTTTATGTGAAAATTAATCAGCCTTTAACATATAATTTTGTAGAAAAATGACAATTATTTGAAGCACTTGTTATGGTTTGGTTTCATATTTCACACATGTCATCATAGATTACTGGTGATGAAGAAATATTTGACACTTTACCTGGTTTTTGACAAGTAAAATTATGTGTAATTTGTTTCTGACCCATTTATGGGAATACCATAGTTCAAGTATGGGCTATTAAGTGAAATGTTGTTATATACATTCATACATGCATGGTGCAAATTTATAGGACCATTGCAATGGTAGAAATTTATATTTATGTATTGCATACTCCCCTAACCACTTGCAATGACATCTGCTCCTTGCAATTATCTGTCTTAACTTAGGCCCAAACCATTCATCTTTAGGAGGGGTAGGGGGCATGGAAATTGTTTGCTTGTGTCAAAAACATTTTTATGACTTACAGGAACAAGAATTTTTTTTTGAAACTCAAAATTGAAAAAGTTGAAATAGTTTTAAATAGAAACAAGTTATTTTTTCTGATCAATTCCCTTATACAACATTTTGTTCAAGAAATTTAGAATCAGACAATTTATAAAAAAAAACATGCCCCTCCCCCCCAACACACACACACAAAAGATGAATAGGTGGAGCCTTATGAATCAAAGTAGATGTTGTGTTATTATTATTGAGACAGCAGTCCAACAACATAAGATTATCAAATACATGTATAAATAATAGAGATTAAAATAAATTGATAGGATAGGGGAGTCCGATTGATTTTATCAATACTGGGAATGTATAGGAAACAAGTGTTTTCCTTGAAGTTATCTGATCACATGCTATGTGTATAAATATATATATATATTAAGGATTAAGGAAGAAAACAGATACTTATGATTGTACTTAAGATAATCAAAGAGATAAACTAGTAAGATCTTTAAGCACAAGATTTATATCTGTTATAAGACAACAGGATGTCTATACACTGACAATAGACTTTGGTTTCCTTTTAAATTTCATGTAAATAAAGAGTTTATGTAACTCTGTTGAAGATGAATACCATTTCTTTTTAAAGTGTTAAGTAGGTGATAATCTCACAGCTTTTCAAACAATCATTTGTACCGGGTAAGTCAAGATTTTTTTTTATCCTATAGACCTTTAACTAAAAAAGTTAGTATATTTATATCATCAATATTCAATGAGATCAATTTTACGTTTCTTTATCAAGCAGAACTTTACTTTGGTATTGAATCATAATTTTATTAAATAAAAGGATATGAGGTCAAAGTCTTACTTTTTACTACATAAACCATATATGTTCAGTCTAATGTGAATTAATCAAGTACTACTTTTAGAAATGAAAATCAATATTGCTTTTATGAAACTATTAGATTGAGGACATAATCTAAAATTAACCTAACTTCTCAGCCATGTCTCTTGTGGGATATGTGAAAGGGTGTGGATGGGGGTTTACAGAATAGAGAATAATGGGCAAAAATAATAAAGAATAGAGAAAAATGGACCAAAAATATAAAGAGAATAGAGAAAGATGGCCTAAAAGATTAAAGAATACAGAAATGGAGGACCCCAATCCAGACCCTCATGTGATCCTCGGTCTTTAGTTCTCTTTTTAGGGTTTTGTGGACTTGTTTGTTTTGTTCTTTTGGGCCGTGGTGTTATTTGTCTTTCTTCAAAACTATGCTTGTTGACTGCTTAGAGATGTTTTCAAAAATTGGTAAAACATGTACTAAATTTATTTTCTTGTGCTGCTTAGGAATATTTTTCAGCTATTATGCCCCAGTGTCTAGACAAAAAGTTTTGATTGGCTCCTTAATTCTTATACTTATAAGAAATGTGCTTAATTCAAAAATAAATTGTATGAATAGCTTGGAGGACACAAACTGCAACATGTTGCAATCATAAAATAATCTGATGTATACAAAAAATCTTGTATAGAGATTAGAAATAATTCAAAAGGTACAAAAGGGATAACTAGGAAACAAATTATTTACCATAAGTCAAACAATTTATTATTAATCTGAAAATTTTAATGAAATTCTATGTTAATTTTAAATTCCAGTAATAAATAGTACAGAACGATATATATAATGATGGGGATCTTTGTACGTCAGCCCTCATACCTCATCCACAAAGTCTCCTAACAAAGGAGGGATTTCCATAAAACTCACACAGACTGGTCATACATAATGGCATTGTGCAATTACTATTCTACTTATTGATCAAATTGATTTTTGAGGTCCTAAGTATAAAGTATGAGGGGGATGGCATGCTTTTGGGATGTGGGATATAGTGGGTAAAAAATGTGTGGACGTGGAAGATAGGGAGGGGGTAGGGATATAGTGGGTAAACAAAGTGGGATCTGGGGTAAAGAAGGAAAAAAGTGGGAAGTGGGAAACAATACAAAAAAAAGGTAAGATTTGGGAAATGAGCACCCAGTACATCTCTCAAACATAGAAGTGTGATTTCTTCACATTATATACTCAAAAAGGAGAAGGCTTCCCATTTCTGTAACTCACTAGTTCATCAAATGTATCATTATGAAAAAAATGAAATGTGGTATGATTACCAATGAAACACCAGACTACAAATAATGTGGAAGTAAGCAATTGTAGGTCACTGTTTAGCAAAACCCATACCCTATAGTCAGCTATAGAAGGCTTGGATATGACAACATGTGAAGCTATTCAAACTTAGAAAACCAGATTTTTCATATACAAATTGTTTACCAAAAGCATGTTTTGACTATAGACAAGGGAGGAATAAAGAACCTAAATTGTTTTTAATTTGGTCTAAGTTTTTTTTTATGGCAATTACTGGTAAGAGAAGGTACTTGTATATGCTGACATTACTTTTTTTCTTCCTAACCAGACTATGCATGATAAAAAAGTCCATGACAAAGTCTATTGGTTACTCCAGCTTACATACTGTGTATCTAATACATGTACTTGTTAGGTCAAGGTTAGATCATTTCTCTTTTCTATGTGTGATACTGATAGTGTACTATTATTACCCAAATGACAAAGATTTAATATTTTATCAGATAAATTTTGTTTCTTTATGCAAGTATATATCTTATACCTTTAGATTAGTGAATCTTGAAAAATAAATAATCATGGGAAATAAAAGTGGAAAACAGAAGAAGAAGGATAATAACGAGGAGGGTGATTCTACTAAAGTGAATGGAGAGGCTGGACAGGCAGAAAATAAAACAGAGGAAGGAGGGGACACAAAACCTGAGGTAAGTTTAATTATATTTGTTCTACAGGTATATAATGAGGTAGAGGGGAGCACAAAGTATGTAATAAATTTAATCAGAGCAGTTGGGCAGACAGAAAATGAAACAGAGAGACAAAACTTAGATATGTTCAGGTGCAGATCCAGAATTCTGATATGCCCCCCTCCCCCAATTTCCCTAAATCCACCTCTGATGTTTCATCAGATTTATTGCACAGACAGAAAATAAACCAGGGAAGACAAAACCAGATATATGTATTATCAGAGAGGTTAGGCTGACAGAAAATAAAACAGGGGAGACAAACCTGAGATATGTATTATCAGAGAGGTTAGGCTGACAGAAAATAAAACAGGGGAGACAAACCTGAGATATGTTTTATCAGAGAGGTTTGGCTGACAGAAAATAAAACAGGGGAGACAAACCTGAGATATGTATTATCAGAGAGGTAGGGCAGACAGAAAATAAAATAGGGGAGACAAACCGGAGATATGTATTATCAGAGAGGTAGGGCAGACAGAAAATAAAATAGGGGAGACAAACCTTAGGTGTTTTATCTGAGAGGTTGGGCAGACAGAAAATAAAACAGGGAAGACAAAACCAGAGACCTTTTTTATCTCAGGTTGGGCAAACAGAAAATAAAACAGGGGAGACAAAACTAGAAATATGTCTTATCAGAGGTTGAAAAGACTGAAAATAAAACAGAGGGGACACACCACCTGAATAATTCATATCAGAGAAAGAGAGAACAAAACAATGGAGGGAGGGACATAAAACTGGAGAAAATTTTATCCAGACAGGCTGGGCAGACAGCAAATAAAACAAAGGACAAAACAAAACTAAAAATTAACAAAGGGAGGGGAAACAAACTGTGAGGTATATTAAATCAGAGAGCTGGACAGATAGAAAATAAAAAGGTGGAAAGAGGGGGAAAAATGTACTCCTTTAGTAACATCATTAATAAATCTACATCTTATTATCAAAGCTTATGCAGTCAGTGACTATATACAAAAAAAATGTTAAAACGGCTTATGTACTTTGACTGCATGGTTATAGTATGAATGATTGTTGAAGAAAATGGAAAATTACAGAAGCTGTGAACAATACTTTAATTACTTTATTTTTATCACCAGGAAAAAGTAGCAGAAGGTAATGGAAGTAAAGAAGAAACTAGTGATCAAAAAGATAAACAAAGTGAAGAAAAAAGTGATGATAAGCAAAGTGACACAAAAACTGATGTAAAATCTGATGAAAAATCTGATTCAAAACCAGAAACTGAAGATTCTAAACCAGAATCACCAAAGGAGATAGTGCCAGCAGCAGAATCACCTATTAAACCAGAAGAAAAATCAGAATCATCTAAAACAGAAGAACAATCAGAAAAACCTAAACCAGAGGAAAAATCAGAAACACCTAAACCAGAGGAAAAATCAGACACACCCAAAGTAGAGGATACAAAACCAGAAACAGAAAAAAAAGAAGAAACACAGCAGTCAGAGTCCACGAAAACTGACGAAACACAACAGCCACAGGAAACAAAACAAGAGGAAGTGACAACACAGGAAGAAACAAAACAAGAAGTCCCTGTGGAAGAAGTACAACAGGCAGCAGAAACAACAACTGTAGAAAGTGCACCAGAAGAACCAAAACAGACTGAGGAAAGTGCACCAGAAGAACCAAAACAGACTGAGGACCCAAAACCTGAGGAACCACAGAAAACAGAGGAAGTAACACCAGTAGTACAATCAGAACAAAAGGTGGGGATTTATAATTTATAATATAAATAAGAAGATGTGGTATGAGTGCCAATGAGATAACTCTCCATCCAAGTCACAATGTGTAAAAAGTAAACAATTATAGGTCAAAGTACGGCTTTCAACACGGAGCCTTGGCTCACACCAAACAGTAAGCTATAAAGGGCCCCAAAATGACTAGTGTGAAACAATTCAAACAGGAAAACCAATGGTCTAATCTATATAAAAAACAAGAAACGAGAAAAACTTGTGAACCACACCAACAAACGACAACCAATGAACAACAGGCTCCTGACTCAGGACAGGTGCATAAAAATGCAGGGGGTTTAAACGTTTTGGTCGGGTAGATACCAGTAGTTGTCTCATCAGAAATCATAATACATCTTTGTATATTTATATTAAATGTTACATGTCTATGTTATGAGACCAATGTCTTAGGCTTAAGTAAAAGACAGGTGCCGTTATCAGACATTAATTAAACAAAATGTTATTCACAAAGTTCTGACTTATAGAAATTGTCCAAAAATAAATAAAAGTAAAAGTAAAGTCTACACTATTTTTCATGTCATAAATGCCAATCTCTATTTCTATGCAATTTATTTAGAATTTCCTGTTGTATCTAAAGTGTTTTCCTACTTTGGACTCAAGGTTATCTGATCACCTGTGACAACAGGAAGTTACTCGTGACCAAAATCAGAAGTGGAAGTAATTCTATAAACTAAGTAGACCTTTTTCCACAATTTTATACCCGGTAGTCCTTTAACATGACCTCAGAGGCATTTTTTTCTATATCTATTTATAGTTGGATATTTTCTTTTTAATTTTTTGCTATTTGCAATTTTTTTTTTTTTTGGCTTTTTTACTTTCAATGTGCTGCAACTAAAAAAAAAAGAAATAATAAAAATTGTTAAAAGTGAAATAAGAATGAAGTCATATGATATAGGATCTTATAGAACTACACACTGGAGATGATTATGTGACCATATGAATGAAAGTAGATGTTTAGGGAGCAACCATTTAACTTCAAGGGGGGGTTGGTTATGGTTTTTTGTCTGAGTCAGAAATATTTCTTGTAAATTGCGAACATTTTTTTTTAGTTTTTCGACCCTATCAATCAAAATTATTTTTTTCAAAATTTAATAAAATTGAGAATGGAAATGGGGAATGTGTCAAAGAGACAACAACCCGACCATAGAGCAGACAACAGCTGAAGGCCACCAATGGGTCTTCAATTTAGTGAGAAACTCCCGCACCCGGAGGCGTCCTTCAGCTGGCCCCTAAACAAATATGTATACTAGTTCAGTGATAATGGACGTCATACTAAACTCCAAATTATACACAAGAAACTAAAATTAAAAATGATACAAGACTAACAAAGGCCAGAGGCTCCTGACTTGGGACAGGCGCAAAAATGCGGCGGGGTTAAACATGTTTTTTGAGATCTCAACCCTCCCCCTATACCTCTAGCCAATGTAGAAAAAACAAACGCACAAAGGTACGCACAGTAAAACTCAGTTCAAGAGAAGTCTGAGTACGATGTCAGAATAGGAAACAAAAGAAAATAAACAAAATGACAATAATACATAAATAACAACAGACTACTAGCAGTTACTGACATGCCAGCTCATAAGACTTCATTCTTATTTCACTTTTAACAATTTTTATTATTTCTTTTTTTTTTTTTTAGTTGCAGCACATTGAAAGTAAAAAAAGCAACAAAAAAAATTGCAAATAGCAAAAAATTAAAAAGAAAATATCCAACTATAAACAGATATAGAAAAAAAATGCCTCTGAGGTCACTATAAGGTATGGGGAAAATCTGGATTCAGAATATTTTTTTTTTTGTCATCTGCTTGACCACAATATTTTTTTTCATCAAATTGGGGATCAGAATATTTTTTAGGAAAAAACCATACCCCCCCCCCCCCCCCCCCCCCCTTCCCCCCCTTGAAGTTAAATGGTTGTTCCTTTATAATAGGGCAATGAGACAGCGACGACATTTTTTTTTAGCAACCTTTACTAAGGTCTTGCACGGTCGGTAATGAGACAGCAATCAAACAATACAAACAAACAAAATCTAAAGGTCAACATACTATACTGTCCTTAAGTCTGGAAATTTTTTTAAATAAATGTAACAGGGACTTTAAAGGATCTTCTTTTAATACCAAAAAAATCATAAATGATGTACTATTCAATGTTAGACATAAGTATTTTTAAGAATCAATTGAATTTCATTTTTTATGAGACACTTGAAGAAACTAACCACAAAATCAATATCTTCTTTCAACTCTAACCATAAAAAAAGTGCAGACTGGAAACTGAAGAAATTTGACATATATATTCCAATGGAACCAACTGTCCACTTTGTTATTGCATGTCAAAACTAATCAGGCCTTTAATTTGGTACATTGTGAATTTGTGTAGTATTAAATTATGCCCTGTAATTATACATTTTTGACTATTTAGACTTATTCTTCAACTTTTAAACTACTATATGTAGTGCCCCCTTTTTTGGAGCTACATATATGTGTATTGCAGTTTTTACAAGTTCATTCCTAGCATTGCCTTGGTGCCCCCTCCTCCCCATCTGATCTGAGTACTCATTTTATTTGGCCTATCCCTCACTATTACAATAAGATTTACTGGGTATTTTCTCTATAGTATACTGATTTCCAATTTTCTTGAACTTTGGTTGTACTGTGGCAAATATTTCATGTCTATTCAAGAAGATTGTATATTGTTTGAAATATAATTGTTCGAAAACAAGCTAAAATTCAATGCAAGCTTAGAAAAGTAAATTGAATTCTTGAAAGCAGTGAGGAAATACATTTATACATTATGTATGTCCTTGATATGACATAAACATAATCTCGTAAAAAATTAATTGGCAAAAGCCCAGATTTAACACAAAACTACATGTTTAAGTGTGATTGTATTGAAAGATATAAATAAAAATCCCAAATAATTCCTAATAGGAAGTAAAAGAAAAATGTTTTTATTTTTGTTTTCATGACCACATGCTTCTATACTAAAGTTTACAAAGGATATTGGTCTGACGGTCAAAATCATAAAAATATTGTTGGTCAAGAAAATTAGAATATTTATGAAATGAATTGCTGATAAGATTTGAGTGAAAAATGCATTATACCAACATCATTGCTCAACTTGGACAACAAAGTTTTAGACCTGTTTATTTTTCTATTAAAATTTTATCTAAATTAACTTTTTCGTTGTTTTAATACTGTAAATTCAGAAATTATTGCGTGCATTTATTATTGCGATTTTGTCATTTTAGACTAAAATGCGATTTTAATTTTTGCGATATTGAGAAAAATCCTGTTTAATTCATATAAAAATTTCAAAATGCGAGTTTAAATTATTGCGATTATAACCCTGTCGCATTTTTCGCAACAATAAAAACATCGCAATAATTTCTGAATACACAGTAATGGGCTCCAATCTTGGACCCATCCCTGGCATCTACTGGCACATTGCCAATTTTACTGGCCTAACCATAAATTTGCTTGCCCTTGGGTGAAACTGGATAGGTTTTGAACCTTAAATACTAAATTGACTGACTAGACATCTTAACAACTGTGAACTTGATTTACAAGCAGTAAAATACCCTTGAGAGTTCATAATTACAGAGAATAACATTACAATTTCTGTGCAACTTCATCCATACCCCCATTGAATAATGGCTGAAATTAGTCCTATTCAAAATATATGCCATATTAGGGCTATTTTATTGGTTGTAATTATTGTCTATGTTAAAATGTTTAAATGTAAAATATGCAAAGGAAGAAGAGAGGACTAACACCTATGGGGATTTTACTTATGCATAATTACTTCCCTTTATATACACAATTACTTCCCTTTGTTATTTAAAATTTGTAAACACTATAGTTAATAAGGAAAAATTTAATTTTGATCTTAATAACAAAGTATACAGGTAGTATTAACTTAAATCACCTTCTAAAATTATTTTTATTTCCTGTATATTTCTTAAAATTGCTTTAAAAGGTAAATAAGCAAGTCGTTCTCTTTAATATGAATACAAGGTCCTTAGGAGATTAGACAGCAACCTTATGATTGAAAGAATGCAAAAAAACATTGTTGCATGCATATATTATTACAAATTTTGAGGAATGGACAAAAATATGAGATTAAATATTAAGATTTCAGGAAAATCTGAAGCGATACATATCAGATATCAGAATGAGAGTTAACTTATTATTCGGATATTCAGACACCCAGTCCCATTATTTCCTTTGATAAAAACATGATCACAATAATTTTTCTGAATTTACAGTAGTTTTAACGTATTTTTTAACATGTTGATTTAGAAGCCCTTACTCCTGTAATAATAGTGAAATTTCTTTTAATTTTAATTTTAAGTTCGGGTAGTTTCATAGGAGTAGGATATATTCAAAAATATTTTTGCTCTCTGTGTAATGTTCATTCATTGAAACACAGTTAGTTTTATTTTTAGCCTTAGATTGAACTATTGTGAGTAACTATAGCTGCATCACAGATGGTCTAATACAATATTTTATTCTTATTGATTTATACAACAATAATTAATAATGTTATTCAAATACAGATAATAACTTTACTTGATCTTTAACCTTTATGACAGGACAAGAGTTCCTGTAATTCAAAATTCTGAGTCATTTGGTAAACTTATTCTAATAATAGGATTTGAGGAAATTTAGAATGCATGAGGTCAATTTATCATCTTTTTGTCATGGGAATTAATCTTAATACTTCTACCAACATCAGGCCTGGACCCAGGATTTAATGTTAGGGGCGCCCCCTGAGGACTAAAAATAAGGGCACCATATTTTTACAAAAAATGTTTTGTAATTTCACTTACAATTTGAGCTAAAAAAAAATTAGGAGAGGGGGGGGGGATGCACGTCCTCATCTGAATCAGCGCCTGAACATATTTCCTTGACCTAATATTGCTTCTGAAACTAATAAATGTGTTTGCTATTGATAAACAAAACAAAAGATATATAAGTGAGATATATTTTCCACCTAATTCTAATTTTAACTGCTATCACTTTTTTTAAAAAGCTCTTGTAACAATTGGAATACTTAGTATTGGCCACTTGCTTGAAAAATGTAAAACTGATGAATGGATTCAGTGTGCGAAAATCTTTGTATTGAAATAATTGATACTATACAGTGTCCAAGCTAGCCCAAAATAGAGGTGCTTGAGGCTCTGTCCATTCTGTGACTCCCTCTGCCAAAGCTAGCCAAAATAGAGGTGCTCCAGGCTCTGTCCATTCTGTGATTCCCTCTGCCCAAGCTAGCCCTAAATAGAGGTGATCCTGGCTCTGTCCATTCTGTGATTCCCTCTGCCCAAGCTAGCCCAAAATTGAGGTGATCCTGGCTCTGTCCATTCTGTGATTCCCTCTGCCCAAGCTAGCCCAAAATAGAGGTGATCCAGGCTCTGTCCATTCTGTGATTCCCTCTGCCCAAGCTAGCCCAAAATTGAGGTGCTCCAGGCTCTGTCCATTCTGTGATTCCCTCTGTCCAAGCTAGCCCAAAATAGAGGTGCTCCAGGCTCTGTCCATTCTGTGATTCCCTTTGTCCAAGCTAGCCCAAAATAGAGGTGCTCCAGGCTCTGTCCATTCTGTGATTCCCTTTGTCCAAGCTAGCCCAAAATAGAGGTGCTCCAGGCTCTGTCCATTCTGTGATTCCCTCTGCCCAAGCTAGCCCAAAATTGAGGTGCTCCAGGCTCTGTCCATTCTGTGATTCCCTCTGTCAAAGCTAGACCAAAATAGAGGTGTTCCAGGCTCTGTCCATTCTGTGATTTACTCTGTCCAAGCTAGCCAAAAATAGAGGTTTCTCCAAGCTCTGTCCATTCTGCGATTCCCTTTGTGCAAGCTAGCCCAAAATAGAGGTGCTCCAGGCTCTGTCCATTCTGTGATTCCCTTTATCCAAGCTAGCCCAAAATAGAGGTGTTCCAGGCTCTGTCCATTCTGTGATTCTCTGTCCAAGCTAGCCCAAAATAGAGGTTTCTCCAGGCTCTGTCCATTCTGTGATTTCCTCTTCCTTTTCTGTGATTCCCTCTGCCCTTTCTGTGAACTCATCTGCCCTAATAGTTCAGCCCTATGCAGTTTTTTGAAGGAAATTAAATTTATCCAATACAACTAATCATTTTAAGGAAATTGTTTTACAATTTAACCCATAAAAATATAATTAATTCAGCAAAAATATTTTAATTATTATTTTTTCTTTTCAATTTTTTATCTATATATAAAACATGCTCAAGTAGTCCTTTTTCAGACAAAAAACCACACTAACATGCCCTTCATTTTAAAACTGAGCCCGTCTGCCCTGAAATCCTAGCAATAACACTACTATATATATATAATAGTGTTCTGTACATCTGTTGTATTTGCAAATTTCAAAGCTAGCTCATTAAACCATATTGCAAATGGAAAATTTATTATGGGATGTTTGGTAAAGTGTAAAGATATCTGATAGCTAATCAATACAGAGAGTTCACAGGGAATTATCGGTAGTCTTTGTAATGGAAGAAACAATACTGAAACAATCAGGTCTAGACATTAATAGCCACCTGGTGTACTGTTGTAAATGTCTTGATTTACTTATAATACAGTAAAACCTGTGTTAACAAAAACAAAAAATTGACAGTAGATTTTGTTTGCATTTGACAGGTGTTTGGTCTACACAGGTTAATATACTTTAAATTATTCACTGTATGCCTTGATAAAAGAGTTATTAAGTTTATGTAAGTTTTCGTTTTTTTCCAGGGTTCAGCTAAGATAGGTTTCACTGTATAGTTTTTCATTGATTGATTTTGTTATTTTCAGCCAGAGGAACCTGAAACAAAAGAGCAAGAAAAAGAAGAGACACAGCAGGTAAACACGAAGCCATATTTTAAGTTTAGTTTAGTCTTTAGGCCTAAAGTCACTCATTCACCAGATGTGAATCCAGAGTCAGAGGGAGGGGATCATAATTGTCAAAAACGGTTGCAAATATTTTTGACAGTTTTAAGCAAAATAAATATATTTTTTCGATCAAAGTGATACACCCCCTCTGGAATCCACCACTGCCCAGTAACAGCCTGTCAAATAATTGTAAAATCCTGTATCAAGCATCACAATCAATCATCCTTCTTACCAATTTGTCTTAATTTTATTTGTGTCTGTTTCTTTTAGATAATGCTTAAAAAACCTGTTGGATTTCATGAGAAAATTTTAAAACAACTGGAATATCGGTATACCATAAATGTGATTTTCTGATATAACAAAAAATGAGAGAAAAAATGGGGTTCTTAAAAGTCGGCAACAAACAAAAGAAAAGTCATGCAAATAAAGATTGGAACAAAATATTTTGATCGCTACTCTACTACCCCAGGGACTAATACATGAATATTGGTCCCAGCTACTACAAGGGACTAATACATGAATATTGGTCCCAGCTACTACCAGGGACTCATACATGAATATTGGTCCCACCTACTACCAGGGACTCATACATGAATATTGGTCCCACCTACTACCAGGGACTAATACATGAATATTGGTCCCACCTACTACCAGGGACTAATACATGAATATTGGTCCCAGCTACTACCTGGGACTAATACATGAATATTGGTCCCAGCTACTACCTGGGACTAATACATGAATATTGGTCCCAGCTACTACCAGGATCTAATACATGAAGATTGGTCCCAGCTACTACTAGGGACTAATACAAGAATATTGGTCCCAGCTACTACCTGGGACTAATACATGGATATTGGTCCCAGCTACTACCAGGGACTAATACATGAATATTGGTCCCACCTACTACCAGGGACTAATACATGAATATTGGTCCCAGCTACTACTAGGGACTAATACATGAATATTGGTCCCAGCTACTACCTGTGACTAATACATGAATATTGGTCCCAGCTACTACCAGGGACTAATACATGAATATTGGTCCCAGCTACTACCTGGGGACTAATACATGAATATTGGTCCCAGCTACTACCTGGGGACTAATACATGAATATTGGTCCCAGCTACTACCAGGGACTAATACATGAATATTGGTCCCAGCTACTACCAGGGACTAATACATGAATATTGGTCCCAGCTACTACCAGGGACTAATACACAGCTACTACCAGGGACTAATACATGAATATTGGTCCCAGCTACTTCCAGGGACTAATACATGAATATTGGTCCCACCTACTACCAGGGACTAATACATGAATATTGGTCCCACCTACTACCAGGGACTAATACATGAATATTGGTCCCACCTACTACCAGGGACTAATACATGAATATTGGTCCCAGCTACTACCAGGGACTAATACATGAATATTGGTCCCACCTACTACCAGGGACTAATACATTAATATTGGTCCCAGCTACTACCAGGGACTAATACATGGATATTGGTCCCAGCTACTACCAGGGACTAATACATGGATATTGGTCCCAGCTACTACCAGGATCTAATACATGGATATTGGCCCCAGCTACTACCTGGGACTAATACATGGATATTAGTCCCAGCTACTACCTGGGACTAATACATGAATATTGGTCCCAGCTACTACCAGGGACTAATACATGAATATTGGTCCCAGCTACTACCAGGGACTAATACATGGATATTGGTCCCAGCTACTACCAGGATCTAATACATGGATATTGGTCCCAGCTACTACCTGGGACTAATACATGGATATTAGTCCCAGCTACTACCTGGGACTAATACATGAATATTGGTCCCAGCTACTACCAGGGACTAATACATGGATATTAGTCCCAGCTACTACCAGTACATTAACCTGAAAACATATACAGGAGGTAGAACAAAATTATGTAGGTACATGTACATGTATTTCTAATATCTTCAACAAGGAATAAATACTCATACTCTTCTGTAAGCATAGGAATTTTATATTCTATTCATCTTCTAAATCAGAATTTAGTTGATATAAAATTAGGAAAGTATGGTGAAGTAGGGACAACCCCAAAAAAAACTTAGGGTGATGCAAAAATCTACTAAGTGAAGGTCAACATACATGTAACCTTGAATGAGCACAATATACTCCCTTGTAAAGCTCTAAGAGATCTCTATGGAAGTTTTGAAAGAAATGAAAGCAAGGAAACAATGTACAATGGTCAAAAGGGTTTACTTAAAAAACAAAGAAGCAATAAAAACAAAAATAATTTATGCTCAGGTTAGACTAATAGAAATATTTCTAAATGTCTTAGAGAGCTATTATTTTTTAGATTTTTGGAATTCAAAAACAGTCAGAAAAACGATAATACTTTTTAAAAATAATTCTAATTTAATTTTAGAGCATTTTCTGGATTAGCAACATTTGACAAGGGAAACAATCCAAATCATCAAATTGGTTCTACTTTTATCTCATACTTCTTAACAACGAAAAAAGATTCCCAAAATACTTTCACAGTATTGTTTTAATTTTTTTTTTTCTAGTGGTAAACCTTTTTAAAAATTAGGGAAATATTTTGTATATTTCAGGAAACTAAAGTATCAACAGAATTTAAATGGGAGGATGCTGGAGAGATTGTTAAAGTAGCAGGAACATTTAATGACTGGAAAGAACAAATATCACTAGAGAAAGTGTAAGTTTATAATATACTAGTCAACAAAAGAAACGATACAAGGCAATGTATTTTCCATAAATAATGAAATTGGATACACTGTACCAAGGTAAATAATTGCCCAATTGGTCTAATATTTACAGAGTGTTCTTTTCTTATCAAAACCATTGATTTAAGGCAAATAGGCGAATTATTTTTTTTGTAATTTTTGTTATTTCAAAAATCATATTTTCACCAAATCTATATTAGAACTTAAAACTTTAAACTTAAACATGGTCTGCTTAAAATTTTGAATGCCTTTGCAGATATTTGAATACTTAATTCTCATCTTCGAAATTAAGTGCCGACTTTTGTCATCATTTTCCGCAAAATAAATTTGACCCCTGTGTTCAATAACACGATTTTTTCTCACTTTCCAATTTGGTCAGATTCTTTTAATCATATGCATATGCTTTGCAAATGAATGTTTGTCATAGTATAATTTAACAGTTTTTCCTATTTATTATATTTCATGATAAATTTGAGTTCAAACTTGTGTATCTTTACTTTTGTTGACTAGTATAGTTAATGCTATACAATTCAAGATTTCAGTTTGAAGACTTAGTTCATCAAAATTAATGGGAAACAATTCAGGATTTCTAAAATCTCAATCCTTTTTTATACGACCGCAAAAAAAATTTGCGGTCGTATATTGGTATGACGTTGGCGTCGTCGTCGTCGTCATCGTCCGAAGACACATTGGTTTTCGCACTCTAACTTTAGTTTAAGTGATTGGATCTCTATGAAATTTTACCATAAGGTTCAATACCACAAAAGGAAGGTTGGGATTTTGGGGGTTATGGTACCAACAGTTAAGGAATTAGGGGCCAAAAAGGGGCCAAAAATAGGCATTTTTGTAACTTCCAGACATAACTTGTGTGTTAGTGTATGGATCTCTCTGACATTGTACAACAAGGTTCCATATCACAAAGGGAATGATGGGATTGATTTTGGGGGTAATTGCCTCAAAATTTTAGGAATTAGGGGGCCAAAAAAGGGGCAAAAAACAAGCATTTTTCTAGTTTCATGACAATAACTTGTGTGTTAGTGTATCAATCTCTTTGAAATTATACTGCAATGTACCATACCACAAATGGAAGGCTGGGATTGATTTTGGGGGTAATTGCCTCAAAATTTTAGGAATAAGGGGCCAAAAAGGGGCAAAAAACAAGCATTTTTCTAGTTTCCGGACAATAACTTGTGTGTAAGTGTATGGATCTTTATGAAATTGTTCTACAAGGTTCCATATCACAAAGGGAAAGCTGGAATTGAGTTTAGGGGTAATTGCCCAAAACGTTTGGGAATAAGGGGCCAAAAATAAGCATTTTTCTAGTTTCCAGAGAATAACTTGTGTTCAAGTGTATGGATCTCTCTGAAATTGTACTGCAAGGTACCATACCACAAAGGGAAGGCTGGGATTGATTTTGGGGTACCGGGTAATTGCCCTAAACATTTAGGAATTTGAGGCCAAAAAGGGGCCAAAAAACAAGCATTTTTCTAGTTTCAAGACAATAACTTGTGTTCAAGTGTATGGATCTCTCTGAAATTGTACTGCAAGGTACCATACCACAAAGGGAAGCTGGAAATGAGTTTAGGGGTAATTGCCTAAATCGTTTAGGAATTAGGGGCCAAAAAGGGGCAAAAAACAAGCATTTTTCTAGTTTCCGGACAATAACTTGTGTGTAAGTGTATGGATCTTTATGAAATTGTACTACAAGGTTCCATATCACAAAGGGAAAGCTGGGTTTGAGTTTCGGGGTAATTGTCCTAAACGTTTAGGAATTTGAGGCCAAAAAGGGGCCAAAAAACAATCATTTTTCTAGTTTCCAGACAATAACTTGTGTTCAAGTGTATGGATCTCTCTGAAATTGTACTGCAAGGTACCATACCACAAAGGGAAGGCTTGGATTGAGTTTGGGGGTGATGAAACATAAGGGGGTTTAACAAAAATTGGGGGCGGGGGGATTTTTTTCCCCCTTTTTTTTCCTTAAAATTTTCCATTTTAAATTGGTTATTTCTGATTTATATATAAAAGCAAATAATAATGATATGGTTTGAATAGGTAAATTTAAAAATTTTAAGTTCTTAGACCACATTCATTCTGTGTCAGAAACCTATGCTGTGTCAAATATTTAATCACAATCCAAATTCAGTGCTGTATCAAGCTTGAATGTTGTGTCCATACTTGCCCCAACTGTTCAGGGTTCGACCTCTGCGGTCGTATCAAGCTGCGCCCAGCGGAGCATTTTATTTTAATCTCCAACAGTCAAATAAAAAAATTGAAATGAAAATCAGTACAAGCACTTAGTACTATAATCAAAGTTTTGACAGAGTTACCTCCCATTACTGCATTCTAATTTTCTCTATAGAAGTCATTGAAACTTTCCATGACTTGATTTTTGCCTAGTTTAAGATTAAATAGTTGAATTTCTGTACAATTGATATTTTCTTAATAAATTAGCATAGTATATTCATTTCAAAAATAATTGGTGAACATATTTGAAATTTTGTTTTTAGGAATGATGTCTTTATTGTTTCTGTTGATTTACCAGCTGGAGAATATTTATTTAAGTATATTGTGGATGAAAACTGGGTCATAAATAAAAATCAGGTATTTTATTATTTTAATCATAGTGTAGACATTGCTTTTATTCTAGTTGATAGAGTAAGAAAATCAAGCCATACACGAGCCACCAAAAAAAATCAGTTATCAATTTTATGAATTAGTCTAACTGTCTGCTATTTATCAAAGTGCAAAACATTTTTATACAAAGCAAAAGGAATGATAAAAAAAAGAAACATGACCAGAAAAACAGTCTTGATTAAATATGAACAAAAGGAGATGTGGAGTATATGGAGGGGTTGTTGGAGGGGGTGTCATCCCGAATTCCTTACAACAAAAAGCATTCTTTCCCAGATCCCGATAAAATAATCATTAAATCCTGAGTCCTGCTAAGAGTAAATTCAGAATTACTACGAAAATAAAGGTCCAATCCCGAATTCCAGCAAAAATAAAGGCCTTATCCAGACATATAGAAAAAGGTCCTTCCTCCCTTCTATATGTTAATGAGCCAGCAACCCCTTGGGAAAAACAACACCTGAGTAAGAAGACAGCAAAGAAAAGAGAACAGTTATGTAGTTTTAAAATTAGATAATAAACTTTCACTGGTATATTTGACCTACCAAATTAGACTATTTACCGGATTTGTAATAACATGAGCAACACAACGGGTGCCACATGTGGAGCAGGATCTGCTTACCCTTCTGGAGCACCTGATATCACCCCCAGTTATTGGTGGGGTTCATGTTGCTTAGTCTTTAGTTTTCTATGTTGTGTCTTGTGTACTATTATTTGTCTGTTTGTCTTTTTATTTTTTAGCCATGGCGTTGTCAGTTTATTTTCGATCTATGAGTTTGACTGTCCCTCTGGCATCTTGACCCTCTTTTATACATGGCTGAACTCTTCTTCAAATAGTTTCTCATGCAAAAGTGTGAACCAGTTCCCTTGTTTCATTTTAAACAATTTTTTGTTCTTTTTATAAACAGATAAAAGAGAAAGTATAACAATAGAATAAATACTGAGTTTCCCAGAATTTTGACATAGTTGTTGCCTTATTATCAGTCAGAGGTGCAAATAAATTAATTTTTATTTTCCATTTCAGCCAACCAAAAATGATGCAGAGGGTATAGAAAACAATGTTGTTGTTGTCAGCTAGACATCCCTTTGTTGTTGTCAGCTAGACATCCCTAATTACATCCAGTTTATGTTGTTATGATGTCTTTATTGTCATGAACAAGAACCAGAAACTATCAGTTTATTGCTTGTAATTAAAGGTGATCATGGATCAAATAACTAGTACGCTCAGGACATCAGTTCATTCAACAATCTGTGGACAGCTATAGACACTTTTTTATCCAATGTCCTTATCACTGTATAGGAAAGAAATTCTCTTAAGACAGAGAAGTTAATAAAGCATGTGTTTGTGTAAGCTGGGGAAAAAAATATATAAAAAGCTGAAGAACAAGGATGAACTGTGCCTTCTGTTATGTGAACTTTATTTTTAGTTTTATATTATTTCAAAGTGAATCTTTGAATTCAGTACAACCATTCTCTGCAGTGATATTCTGAAGATTTCATCACCATGGATTAAAAGCCAAGTTGTCTTTTCTTTAAATCAAGTGAATGCTGAATCTTTCTATTGTTCTCCATTCCATACCAATAAAACACTAACTCTTTCAATATTTTTTGATAATCCACCTTCAGTCTTTTAAAATAAATTAGTAAGGAGAGAGACTGGAACTCTTTATCTAAACTTGAAATGGGGTCTACAACTACAACTTGTTGGGTTCTAGATAGAAAGAAAAATCATATAAGCATGCAATCTCATAGGACTAGATATAAAAATTTGTAAAAATGTAAACTTTTGTCCCATCTTTGTAAATAAACTATGCAGCTTAGAATATATGCAGGCCAGTTGTACATATGCAATTACTGCAAAACAGTTGATCTATGTGCAATACTTTTCTTTTAAGTGAACATTTCCTAATCAGTATGAGTCTTTCCTAATTTTTGTGGTTGGGAGATATTTCATGTATTAACCAACAAAAATCAGAATCGTTTTTTTTTTGTCATTCTTTCCATCTGCTCGGAAAATCAAATGCATTGTCATTAAGATTTTCCATATTAATCAGACTTATTACACCAAGTTTAAATATACCATTGAAAATTTATTACTCGATTCAGACCAATTTACATATATTTGTATTTCATTCATTGTCACTCATTCTAACAGTTTGAATTAAACTGTTTTTAGTGTAGGTAAAAGATGTTATCAAGCTCAATTGGACATCTGCAAATGCAAACACTTTGAAAGCAAATAACTAAAGTACAACCATTTACATTGATTTTGTAATGAACTTTCAGTGGTACTTTTAAACACAGTGTAATTATGAAATATGTTGAACTGTATGGTAGACTATATTGAAAACCTTTTTTTTCACTCTGTCAATGATATTTTCATGACACAATCTAAATTTTCATTTGCATTACCTGTAAGTTACCAATTTTATTGGACAATCAAGTCTGTAAGCTCAATGTAGGCTGACCTAAGTTTCTACTGGGACCAGATATTTTGGACTATCAAGTCCATAAGCTCAATGTAGACAGACCAAACTTCTGCTGGGACCAGTTTTTTTTTATTTATTAGTATATATAATTTAGAATTTTGCTTTGTAATAATTGTGCAATAGTGATACTTTTGTTTTTTCATTTTCAACAATTAGTAACTGGCAAGGTTATTTCGTTTTAGCTAAGTAAAAGCTTTGTAAATCAGGAAACATTAAAAAAAAAAAAAGAAGAAAGAAATAAATAAATTTGAATTAAACATCTGTTTATGCATCCATATTGGAAAAAAATGTTTCAAAATCACTTGTTGTACCAGAATGATCATCCTCAACAAGATAAACAGTTACGATCAATTTTCATGTAGCCATGTAAACGAAAGTCTTATTTTTGTATGAAAGATTCAGAATGAATGGAATTGTGTTGCCAGATTGTGGAGGCCATGTATAATTATAGATTTGGGTTTCTCATCTTCTGGCTTTTATATAGCTGAATATTTTTTTTGTGATGTTGATTTTCAATAATATTTTTATGAGGATAGAGAATTTTTTGAAAATAAACAATGAAATTGAAGAAATCTATCTGTGGGGGAGATGTTGAGAATCTAAATTAGTTGTGTGGCCTTAAGGCGTTAGACCTTGGTTTGCAAACTCTACAACAGTGATTTTGTTGCTACACTAAATTTCATGTATATGTCAGTGCGCAGAACTTACCACTGTTTCGGAATTTGCTTGGTATGAGAGAGAACACTGTAAAATCAGAACTGTGTTTGTAACAGGCAGTTTCATAAATGTGTTTTAAGCATTCATGTGAAAAAGAATTATAAGAATCTGTGTTATATAGAAGCTTAAAATTCATTAAAGAAAATGGCTGACACAAACGCTCCAGTGATTTTTAAGAGTCATGTCCCTTACCCAAGGTCAACCTCCTTAAGTGATGCATTATCAATGTGATATTATATTTTATGCGTCATGTACAAGCTATTTACAATGTACTTATATTGTAATGTTTTAATTATATATACTAAAACCTATGTTGTAAATCTCAAAATTTACTATACCAAAACTGATGTTGTACATCTCAAAATTTACTGTAAATGTTTAAATAAAGTTCTTTCTGATTGATTGTTTTTTTTTTTGCTGTAGAAGTTTTAAATATATTTATCCAATCGACTCCTTATGAATTATGTGGTCATCAAATGGAGTTGCCGTTCCGTCTTATATTATATTTTTTCTGGTGATGTTAATCCATATCTTGTATATAAATGATTTATGGTTTAATGTTCCATCTGGCATTTGTCTTCTCCTTGACTTCATTTTTATAGTTCATTGACATTAAAACTATATTTTTATCAATTGATCTTTTCAGCTATTAGAAGTACTATGACAACTTCATTTATTATATATAAAATCATTGCAAGGTATACATGTTCATTGATATTCCTCTGACTTTGAGTATTGACTCTGGGTTCAGCAATAGCTAGCTATATTTGCGGTTTGGAATAATTCCAAGTAATGGTTTAAACGTTCGTCCTACAGGATTTATCTGACCTTATCAACTCGTTTTCAGGGTTCATTTGTCAATGTTAAGATTTCCTTATTATTGTGATTATATCCATTTCTCAAGGTAGGTCCACTATATTCGGTGTATAGAATAATTGAAAGATCTGCATGCCCGTCTTCTTTCAGTTTCTATCGAGATCCTTGATTTCTTGATTGACAACATATTTGTTACGTTTGGAGGACGCGTTTTCAACAAACAATCCGCATTCCCATGGGAACCAACTGTGCTCCTCTTCTTGCCGATTTGTTCCTTTAATGATATGAGGCTGACTTTATACAGGAACTTCTTAGGAAGAATGAACAGAAGCTATCATTATCCTTCAACGTCACGTTCCGCTATAAAGATGAGGTCCTCTCGCTAAATAATTCAAAGTTTGGTGACTATGTTGAACGCATCTATCCCATCGAACTTAAAATAAAGGATACAACAGATACAGTTAAATCTGCTTCGTATCTTGAGTCCGACGTACATCTAAAATTGAAAATGATGGTCGGTTGAGAACAAAACTTTACGACAAAAGAGTTCCAAGTGTTAAAGTTGAAATCATTCCTTCGAAATTTTACGGACGCCAACACGGGTTGGTTGACCGTTATTGAATATGTTTCACAGATGAAGACGGATATGTTCCAATTGTTGCAACCACAATCCCGTCCTCTTTTCCTCAAATGTGAACTACCGAATTAGACTTATCACCGGGTTTGTACTTACATGAGCAACACGACGAGTGCCACATGTTAAGCAGGATCTGCTTACCCTTCCGGAGAACTTGAGATTACCCGCGGAGTTTTGGTAGGTTCTTGTTGTTAAGTCTTTAGTTTTTTCATGTTGTGTTTTGTGAATTGTGGTTTGGATTCTGTTTTTATGAACACTGCATCTTGAACTTGACCGTGATTACTTATGATTTAAAGATTTGATTTGATGTGGACAATGGGGTGCAAGGAGGAATAATAGACGTCCAAACATGAACAAAATATGTCTCCAAAAGATCCAAGTACTGACTTTCATAACGACCTATCATACAAGACATTTACAACCAAGAGCCATTTCACGATTAAACTGGACAAAGTGAGCCTAATGCCAAAATCTGAAATCAGAAACCGTGACTACAATTATATTTGAGATTTAAAGGCCTACAACTGTTTTTTTTTCGCATCAGATTTTTTTTTTTGGATGAGCGGGTCTTAAAAGGATGCTTTGACGCATACCTTACCTTCGCCATATTCTTTATGTGCCTGACGCATGCCTATAATACAGTGATTGTCGTTGGCTGCTGTCTGTCACAATTGTTTTTCGTGTGTTGTTGTAGTTTATATTATGCCGATCGTTTTCTTTTATAATTGTTTCACATTTTGTCATCCCGTGATCTTGTATTGCTTACTAAATGGTATGGTTCGCTCCTTTTTGAAGAATCCATGTTTCTTTATTGGACTTACGGCGATTTTTTTAGCGGTTGTATCAGTTGAAAACAGAAAAACTAGCTATAAATATAATTTGATTTCTAATTTAAATTGATCTTGAGAACGAGTTACCGATTATACACTATAGTTATATTGATTTTAATTAAATATTGGACTTTCAGTGGTATATCTAAATGCGGTGTACACCACATGTTTTAGCCCAAGCCACTATTTGATTTTTTTTTATCGACAGCAACTCGTTCCTCTAACAAGCCTGGCTCACAGCCCGACAGAAGAAGCGATGAGTAGGTTGGGCAAGGGCAAGGGTCCCAGGATACCCCCTGGCTAGTTTTAGGTCTGTTTAGTTAGGCCCATCAGATTTTGGCAGTCAACCACATACGTTTTATGTATGTATTTACAAAGTTTTCTTCAGATTTTGGATTTTAAATCAAAAAACATCTTCATTGACTTTCGATAATAGTCTGCTTTTTCAAGTTGACAAAAACTCACACCTGACACACTCGCATCGATAAAGCAAACACACAGGCACTTGTCTCGGAAAAATAATTTCCTGTGTTATATTAAGGTATATAGGAATTTTTTTCAGAGACAAGTGCCTATGAGCAAACGTCATATTTCAGCACAAAATGGAAAACAACTAAAAAAACGTAAATATATTTTATTCAAAAACCAACAATTGATAGACTTTGTAAAATAGAACCGTTAAGTACTCTCAATAAAATATTTGAAAACAATGTAGTGTAAAAGCTATGGAATTAGGAATCGTTGGTCACAGTTTTAATATTGTCATACATATTGTGTATTTGCGGCATGGATACAATTGAATCGAGATTAATGTAAATAACTTTGGTGGAACATTTCGAGTTGTCTCAATATTTTTTGTAGATAAAAAAATCTATGTTACTTTTATAAGGACTCGGAGCTTTAAAAATTCTCTTCGTTCATTGTGAGCATTCGATTCGGCAAAAATATAATGATTCCATACATATAAATGAAAAAGGAACTTATACTCATAAGTGTTATATAGATATATTTGATGTGCAAACAAACATATCTTTTGGTCTTGAAATATCCATTCAAAGTTGGTGGTTTGCTGCAGTGTCCTATTTTCTTGGCTAATTCTTTAATTAACTTAATTGAATTGAATAACAATCATTTACAAAACAGAAAAAATGTCCACACACTAATTTTTATCAATACACTTTTCTTGTAACATTCACGGACAAGAAGAAAACTACAATTGTAACAGACCCCCTTTACCATGACCCTGATGCTATATTTAGAAAAAGTATGCCTTTACTTGTTCTTTAAGTTTGCATCTCTAGATTTTTTTAAATTCTCGTCTAATAATAGATCAGTTAAGATATACGAACAATAAGCAACATAATTTAAGCAAACATTAAAACCGTTGGTTTTATGTCCAGACAACTCAGTGTTTAATCATTAGGGGATCGCCCTTTTTGGCTGCAACCTCTCTATGGGGTCCGTTAAAATAGGGGTTGTTCTTCAATTTCTCAAGTTTCGATTGGAGTATATCCATAATGCGTTCATTGTCCTGAAAGTAGAAAATATAAATATTTGATATACATCCATTCTCAATTTTAATTCATATCTTAAAATATGTCATTACTTTCGGTAAAGACAATTAAAAGAAAACAGTTAGAGAACTATATGCGCCAAAGGTTGGTTAGTATTGCAGTATCATTGCCTTTTTAAACTGTCTTCAATTCAACATAGAACACACTGCATTTAAAAATACAATTGAAATCCTTCCTCACTCGTTCTGATTGTAAGTTTGTACAAGTTGTTTCTTGTTCGTAATCATGTGATTGAATTGGCGCTTGGGGAATGAACCCCCTTTTTCTATATACTGTTCAGCGTTTTAATTTATTTTACTAAATATAACTTAATATTTTGAATCATTTTACTTATTTAATGTGCTCTTGCTCTTATCCGGATTATTTTTACAATAATAGTAGTTTATATATGATGTCTCTCTATTCTTACCTTGTCTCTGAAAAAAATACATACATACCTTTATATAACACGAAAATGCAAGTTGAGTATCTTGTGTTATATTTATAAAGGTTTATTGGTAAAAGAAATTCAGAGACAAGTGCCTGTAAACTACTCTTGATCAGATAATGAAATTTAAACGGTATTTCAATACGTGCTTTAAAATAACAGTTCTTTCTCAGATTCTGTGTTCAAATATTGAGTGTACGCCTGAAAATATTTTCAAGCTGCTAATATCTAATCCAACCTTACAGCCAAAAGTCTCTGGCGCCACTTTTCTGATTCTTTGGCTTTGCTGAAGCAGAGGCATACTATAATATCAGAGATTAGCGACTCCATTCAGAATTGTTCCAAATATGAATTAAAAGGTTAAGGAACTGAATAGATTTCTTCAACAAACAAAGTAAAAAACGAAAAAAAAAAACTGTTGAAATTTCAATGTAGTCACAGAAAGAATTATACAATAAGAATGCAATAAAATGTAAATATGAATTATTTCTTAATCGAATATTGCAGGTCGTCTCTAAATATTTATGGAGATTTCAATGTGTCAAAAATTTGATTTACATACTTCAACATTTTCAATTAAACATTGAAGGCCGCGTCATATTGCTCGATTTGACCTACTATAGTTCCCCAATGGTATCATACGTTTCTGGCTGAACGTAACAACCTACTAGAACACGAACAACATTTGTAAAATGAAACTAAAAACAAGCAGACAAATAAATAAAAAAACAAACACACGAAACAAAAAACGGTTACTTGATCTTCAAAAAGTTCAAGCAAATACCTATTTTGATGTCAAAGTATGATGAAATGTTCAACGCTATAGACAGACACTGAATTGTTATTATTTTATGCAAACAGATTAAAAATGAAACATGCCAGAATTTTTCAGTAAACTACAACAGAAGAAAGCTTTACGTTAAATTAAGGCTAAACAACTACTAAAAAAGTGCATTACACACACACGAATATCAAGCAATATATATACAGTAACAAAAGTATCTCATTTGATAGATATTAGTAAGGAGACGACCATTTGATATTCGCAAATATGGTTAAATACCAGTAAAGGGACGACCATTTGATATTCGGAAATCATGATAAAATACCATATAAGGGACGACCATTTGATATTCGGAAGGGTGGACAGGTGAATTTATCTTGCAACGGAATATTCATTTTCATCATTTGCAAGAAGCTCGCTTATTTTTTTCTACTTTGTAAACAATAATTTCCGCCAAATGTTTGCATTTAGTATTGTAGAATATTGATTTTTCACCCCGTCTTGATCAAGATTCTTAAAAGGCCAGAATGTTAATTCTTAAAATCCTCCTGCGCCTCCCCCTTCCCTATAGGAATCTCAAATGGTCGTCCCCTAAGGTCATAATAAATAAATTTGAAAATTCTCATGCCATAATTCAGATTTTGAATATATAGACAGGAAGACAGGAAGACATATATTTCTCATTTTAATGGATATTATCCATAACAGTTTAACTGATAGTAATACGAAAAAAGAACAAAGTTTGGTGGCCGATGAGAGGGAAACGGAGTAAAAACATTTTTTGAAGGGCCACAAACTGTTAAGAATAGAATAAGAAACTGTAAGAAAAATAAAAACACAGCCATAGAAAATATGCAGAAAAGACTGACAGCAAGCAAAATGAGAACAGATACAAACTAATTTGCAAGAAAAACTCAAATTATAATGCGTTGGCCTACTAACTACAACGGACAATATGAACAAACTGGACTAACCCTTTTATATCTCATTTGGTTGCCACCTTTCTTCTCGCGTTTCTCCAAATTCATGCTATCCTGTTGTAAAAAGGACACAACGTTAGTTTGAAGAGAATAAGACAAAACCTGAGATAGATAATTAAGTCCGTTTAAGTTCCAATAAGTTTTTAAACGAACAAAATGTGCGACTTTAGGATTCGGTTGCTCACACCATTATATTGAATTCAACAAACCTACTGGGATAAGGCAAATGTCTCATTCCTTTATACATACAGGTACCAACGACTACTGCCGGGCGAGTCGCATGCAGCGACAGAATAAGTACGATATAAAAGTTACATTCTTTTATCATTTTATGTACTGAGACCATAAGATAATTTTCATTCTCTTTACAGAAAATATGAACCTGAAATTCTTAGTTTTTATCTGGTCCCCAACCTGCTTATCGAACTACTTTTAACGTCAAAATGAAACGGAATGAAATTTGATAGTAAGCGTTATTTTGAGTCAAACTTTATAACCAAGGCATCTATTGAACCTATGAGACCTATGATTGGTGGCCTTGGGCTGTTTTCTGTTCTTTGGTCGGATTGTTGTCTCTTTGACACATTCACCATTTCCATTCATAATTTTATCACATTCCAACGCTAGAGAGTATACCGCTACCATTTTGAAAAAAAAAAACGCTGATATCTAATACTGTATTTCCACTGTCATTCTTTTCAGCATCAGTCGCAGTACATCATTTTATAACTTTTATAGGTAAACTATAAGTTTTTTTCTTACCAAATCTGAGTTTGAGTTTTGCTCCATCCAGTCTGGATAGTTGCCCGTCTCCTTAATTTCATGGTCATTTTCTGCCGGACATGAAAACATGTGTTCTGCATCGCATGGACAGTCTTGTTGTTTTAACAGACGACGATTATTGTCCAGGGAATTCTCAAACTTTTCCACGCAGTTATCATCAGCTATAAAGATAGATAATCATTTAACACAATCGATTTATAAATATGTAACTATAGACCTACATAATTTTCTATTACGATTCTAGGCATTATTGACTTATTGATCCCTGGTCATTTGTCGTTGAATTGCTCGCTTCCTTTGTTCAAGAGTGGATCAAGAAGTTTTAAAAGGAAAGATACTATATGGCTGTTCTAACTAGAAAAGGGGGAGGGGTTCGGCCTAATTTGAAAAAAAAAATCCAAGGAAAGGGATTGCGCTGTGAATCCACAAATGGATTTTGTCCGGTCATTAATTACTCGTGAAACAATTTTACCTTGAAAAAAAAACTCTTCAGTTTTGCCTGCATGTTTTAACTCTGGCACTCTATTCTTCAAGTATTTAGCGAATTGTATTAAGAATGAACAATTTTGTTTACGTTTCGAACTGGGTCTAACACTGTGAGTATTAACATGCACTTACGGTAAGTGTGTCTTACCTGTGTATCCAACAGGGCAAGGATTTGGTGGGTTACAGTAAGCAGGAAGGAGTGTCTTACCTGTGTATCCAACAGGGCAAGGATTTGGTGGGTTACAGTAAGCAGGAAGGAGTGTCTTACCTGTGTATCCAACAGGGCAAGGATTTGGTGGGTTACAGTAAGCAGGAAGAACTTTGTCAGTTTTTACTTGTTTAGGATTTTCTTTTCCACCTCCTGTTCCACCTTAAAAAAAATTCAAAATCTTTAAATCATAAATGAAATCAAATTTGTTAGCTCATTATTAAGTCTGAACCACTGTAGGGACATACCATTTGAAGCGGAGAGTACGTATATGATGCAAGAACACTGTTACAAAACAGAACGTTTTCTTAAACGGTTATTCTCTCAATTGATCTTATTGCAAAATGACTCGCGAAAATGAAATATGACATGTCATTGTTAAAATTTACACCTTAGAAATTTAAAAAAAAAAATGTAATGGGTAAACTTTGATCTTACAAGTATAATGATCACGCACTTCTGTAGCGTTGGCTGAATAATGCTTTTAAAGAGCTAAATTTTATAAATTCTATACTAATTTGATTCAATTTTTACACTCAAATTGAGAGAAAAAAATCTTTCAAAATGTAAGTTTTAGACCATTCTTTTAAATCTCTATTTTTTGTTGCTCGACCACGTTCTTTTGTCATAAAATATAGAATTCTGATGACATGAGCTGAATGATATCATGCGATATTTATACTAAAACTTATACTCACCAGACACGGACTGGTATCCCCATAGGCTAGGCAACTGTTCTATTAATTCTGGGTCCCTAATTGATGCTCTGCTGAATAGATTTGGGTCATCCATGTTTAAGGTCCAATCATCAGGCATACTCCTCCCAACTAGTTCGTCGTCATAGTAACCATATCGTCCACCTGATTCAGGTTGTTGAAGCTGATAGAGCTGAGAAAGATCATTGAGGAGGAGGTCGGAATAGCTGGCACCTTGTGCGGTATATACTGTCATTGACAGGGCGAAAATAATGGGCAGCATGTTTAAGCCTGCAAGGATTGTAATCGTTCACAGATACTAATACAAGCAAAACAAAATTTAAACTAGATAAATATTCTCTCTTAACTATTTAAACACCGAGTGTGAATCGACACTACCGTTCTGCAGACGTTATGCCGCATTTAAAAATATCACTGAAAAATAACTTTAATTACAGTTCATGCAACCTGTTGCTTGAGAGAACATCCATGAGGGTCTGGATGGGGTTTAATTGATGGAGAATAATGGACAAAAGGTGCAGAATAAAGGGCAAAAAAATAAAGAGCAGAGAAAAATGGTCAAAATAAATAATGAATAGAGAAAAAAGATTAAAAAAAATTAAAGAACAAAGAAATGAAGGACCCCCATCCAGACCCTCATCCATCGGTCTTTAAAATTCTCTCTTAATCCGATGTGAGATATGGTTCCAGGATCAACATCCAATGAAGTTTAACTTTATTGCAAGAAGAAACTTCCAGTAGGATGTTTAAACGTGTTGTTTAATAGATGTAATTGTATTATCTTGCTGAGTAATCAGAATATTGCGTGCATCTTGCAATCAATAATTTCATTTTGTGGAGCTTACTTTCCACTTTCTCTCTGATAAATCGATTTCAATTCCATACAAGACATTCTTAATTGAAATAAGCCAAATGTCAAATAGTTTATAGTGAATCTAAATTGTAGAATTAAGCTTTTTGTAGAAATGGCAAAAAGTCATGGTAAAATGGGTAAGATGTTATCCTTTATTATATTTATCTAGTCAGAATTATAATTAAGTCTTTTAACAGCATTTTTCTTTAGCTTTACGTTTTAAATTAAAAAAGTAAATTATTATTGTTTGTTTTGAAACTAACTAGCACATGGTAAAAGACTAAACTTACCCCTGTGAAGAAAAAGCTCTTGATTTTGAAGACAGTATCTAATGTCCAGGCTGTTTTGTTTTTGTAATGGCGCTGGCTTTCAGAAAGAGAATTGATTACTTTGCTTCCGTCACTTCTCCAAGAAAGAATCGATATGGTGACAGAAATCAATTCCAAATACGTCATAGCGGAAAACTGTTGTCATTGGTGATAATTGATAATTGATAATGATTTTATCTTGTATCAGTATTTAGTGATACATTTGGAAAAATGAGCCTTTGGTTTAAGAAATAATATATTTTGTGGGTGGATAGAGAACGTCCACCATAATATACTATTGGAATCAATTACATAACATGGAATTAGTGGAATGTTTCAAAGTGGTGTTTAACCGTTCAAATAAAAACGCAAAACTTGATAATTGACTAACCAGAATATCCCAAAATTGATATGACAAATATTTTTTTTTTCATAGCGAAATGCATGATGTATCTGGTATTTTCCTGGTTTCAGGATAAAAATTAAGGTCAAGGTACAGTAAATGGGCTATGTCAAAGATTATGGTAAAATTTTGCATGCAACTTTGGCACGCTGAACTATACCTGAAAATTGACAAAATAATGCATTTATCTCTTTTATTTTCTAAAATATAATTGAATGAGTTCTTTCAAAATAGATTTTGGTTCTCGGTAAAGAAAAAAAAGATTTAAATGCATTATTTGTTTGATTTTCAGTTCAAGTTTAACATACCGCAGCTGTATGCAAAAATTGACTAAAGACCCGTTTACGGTTACTTGGCCTTTAAAAAAGTTTTAAGCATTGACTATGTCTTCGTATGTATAGTTTTATCGAGTTCAGTGTCAAAGCTTTGATCTGTTTTATTATCGAATCGCTTCCGCGCTTCATTCGGATTGTACTTCGGTTAAATTTTTCATATACCAATAAAACTACAAAATGAAGCATTCAAGTCTTAAATAAGCACTTATGATATTTTCAGCGTTTTTTTTTCCAGTGAAAACTATCGTTCTTGACGTCTGTTTTCGTTTTTGACCTCTGTTTTTAATTTTTTAACGTCTGTTTGTGCATTTATTATATCTGTTTTCGTTTTTTCAGTCTGTTTTTGGTTTTGATGTCTGTATTTAAAGTTTTGTTCAATTTTGCCCGAATGGCTGACCATAGATCTGTAATAAAATCCCATCCTTCACTTGTGTAGCAGTGTCAAGAACAAAAAAATATGATCATAGAGATTTCATAAGAGAACATTATTGAGGGATGGGCATCATTGGCATGTTGAAAGAATACATTAAGTTCTTGTTTAGTATTATCCCACTTCATGTCAATATCGTTGATGAATATGAACCAAGAGAGAGATTTATAAAGAGAAATGTTGAGAGTTTGCTGTTCCAATTTGCAATTGAAAATATTTGCATAGGACGGGGCCATATCTCTGTTCCACGTTAACCTGGAGATAGTGTTCACCATTGAATGTGAAGTTATTGCATCTCAATGAAACAATGGTACCATATGTTGATAAATTGACTAAAAGACTGACCATGACCTGCCTATTTATTTTTCATACTTTTTAGATGATGCTTAGATAAAAATGACAGTTTAAGACTAAAATTTATTTACTAGTGAATTATTTTTGTCGTATAGTTATTGTCTCATTCTCGTATTCATTATCTCTGAATTATATCTGTCCTCTTTAATGAGTTATTTTTATGCAGTTTCTGTAAAATGAGGAGGTTGATACCACTATAATTACCCTGACGCGACATTCGTTTGATGTAATCATATTTATAAATGTATGAATAGACGTTTATATGCTGCTATATTAGTTTTCTATTTTTTTGACATACACTCTTTCGTTTAAGTACCGAAAATATATCCTAGATGATATATAATGAGTGCTGTTCATTAAACTTTGACATGTACCGACGTCTCCCTGAAACCAGTAAGTATATATGTAGGAGTCGGAGGTGCGATGGGGACGCTGAAGTGCGATGGTCACGCTGAAGTGCAATGGTCTTCGCAGAAGTGCGATGGTCTGTTCGCTGAAGTGCGATGGTCTATAAATGTCACTAGTTACAGTTTCATACAAAATGAGAGATCGTTCTCTTTAAATTTGCTGCATGGGGACATTATTCTGCTTTAACAGTTTATCTTAACGTAATCTCAGCTCTCAGGCCTCGTGAGTTCCACGTTTACCGTAATATCATAATACGGAAAGTCTCTCTGCGGATCCAATTTGTAGTTTGAGAATTCGAAGCTCCATAGTACATAAAAAACGAAACTTCTGTAGATTTCGAAACAGGATCTAAATTATCTAAATTTCCCCTGTCTTCTAATTATTTCCCTTTTCCAGTATTAAAATCTGTTTACAAGTTGTATTCATGTCGAATACTAGTATGCAAAAACATTCCATATTTATCATGACTGTGTTTAATTAAACGGGTTAATATTCTTGATGATTTACTTAAACATGAAAAGCTGCTTTTAACAAATTGACTTTTTCATCGACATCGAAAATATAGTTTATGTAATCCATCGCACTTCGGCGTAGTTACAAACAAGATAGCGTCAAAATGCCACCATCGCACTTCAGCGTGACCAAAAACGCACTTCAGCGTCAAACCATCGCATTTCAGCGTGACCATCGCGGTTCGGAGTACCATCGCGGTTCCGAGTCTTATATTTCCAATTTATAAGCTAAACATACTGGTTGAATGGTTTTACACTAGTAATTTTTGGGGCCCTTTATAGCTTTCTGTTCGGTGTGAGCTAAGGCTCCGTGTTGAAGGCCGTACCTTGACCTATAATGGTTTACTTTTATAAATTTTGACTTGGATGGAGAGTTGTCTCATTGGCACTCATACCACATCTTCCTATAACTATATGATATATTTGATTCGTCATTGCCAGGACTCAATTTTGCTTGGAGAAATGACTTCTAGTTCCTTGCAATAGACAGTTTGCGAGAATTGTCTGTGTGTTCGTATTGTAACATATGAAAGGAAAAATAAGTATCAATCAGTATTGTTTAACTTTGAATTATCTTAAATATATACCGTGTACACTAAGTTTTCCCTTTACTTGAGGTGATGAAAATCTGAAAATTAAGGCGACACCAGTTTACCGATGTTTCAATATCTTAAATCAATTAGGAAGAGACAAATCAAGGTAACAACCAAAAACGGGAACCGCCCAAAATGAGCGAGAATGGGTGCATCGACAAGTTTTTAGGACACATTTGGTAAAATTAAAGATCAGACGACTATACTGGTATCTAAAGATCTAAGAGATCTAGTGAATAGAGACACCAACACAATTTAACGTATCGATCAACCAATTCGTTATGGTGATACAGAACCAGCATTACCTGTGTCTTGTATAGATTCCAAATATTCACAATATACATCATTATCAACATATACGTAATCATTTGTTGACCACGTATTTGTTCTACCTATTGTAGGGACAATCCCACCCTCATTTCCTCTATTGTGAAATCACCGAATGAGACTTATAACTGGATTTTACTTGCCATAAACAACACGACGGTTGCTATTAGTTGAGCGGGAAAAACCTCTCCCTTTTGGAGCACATGATTTTACCTTCTGTACAGTGTTTTTGTTTTGTCTGATCTTTTATTCTATGGCCATGGTGTTGTGGGATTTTATTTCGACATTTTGTTTTTGATTTCTCTCAAAGTTTTTTCTCCACCATTTTCAAAAACAAACAAGTGTTCAACAACAAAAACAAATTAATCAACAACAAAAAAAAAAAATCACTTTGTAAATTTCATACGTTCGAAGCGCTTTTCTGGATTTTCCTTTATCTGGAACGCTCAAAGTCAAAAATTTGAAAGTCAAGGATGTACAACTACTGAAACTAGTGGAAAGCTATACATGTATGAACAAAAGGGACCTTATAATAATAGCCAAATCCATCGAGGGTCAACTCTGCGTGAGGTATTTGGAACCATAGTTTCTTCATAATTTCTAAATCTAACATTCATAAACATGTAGTCTACTAACAATTTCGGTCCCAAACCAACTCCTTACTTTATATGATTTGATATCATTAGGATCCGATAATTGAACACTCCAATCCAATATCTAAGCATCAAACAATTTTCCAAATTCCGCGATTGAAAAACACCCATAAATATCTTTGATTTTTAATCCAAAATTACTTGAACAATAATATGGTACAGAAAGCTCTAGCAAAATTACTCGGTTCAATTTGTATTGGGACAATGTGTCTGTACAAAAAAGTGCTATCACAATATCATAACTACAATAATCCGTACTGGAAAACAAATGTATATATTAAAGGTTTAAAAAAGAATATAACAATCTGTAATTCTAATTTACTACGAATGTTTATTTTTGCAGTTTATTTGTACTATGTAAAACTATTATAATAAATTAGTCATTGCATCCTTTCAGAACATTATGCATTTTAACGGTGCTATTGTAATTATAAAGTTTGATTAAATGCAAATTGAAATATCGGCAGAAACAAATGAATATATTCCAGAAAATCAGACCGATGCTTGAAGTCAAAAACACTGCTTTGATGTAATTTTATTCAAATTTGAATTGTGAAAGTAACCTTCAGCTTGTAATAGAAAAACAAAGGATATGGGGTATCCTTCCATGACACAAAATCAGTTCACGCACAGCAAAAAAGAAACACACAAAAAGCAAAGGAACAGCGCTTGTATTGCTGTTCTTCATCTCAAAGTCATAGTGAGGCCTTCAACACGGAGCAAAAAAACCCTCACCTCACTGCAAGTTTAAGACGGCCCCTAGCACCGGCTTGAGCGGAATTCTATGCAAAAATAATTTGGATAAACTTTGTAAGATGTAACACCACCTAATCGGGCCCGGTCAGAAAAGAACACACCGGAAAGTAGTACATACCTAAAACAAAACAAAAATGAAAAAAACATAAAAATCACAAACCACAAATCAGAAATCTAGATATGTACCATCAAAATGTTTGTGCATATATTTTTTTTCCATATTTGCAGATCGATTACAGCCCCGACAGAAGAGTAATGAGCAACATGGATTTTGGAGTTGAATTATTGGTACAACTTGTATATTATAACTCTTTGTCTATCTTCAAGTACGTGTCTTGATAAAATCGTCATTATGATATTTCAGTCTTGTCTTTTTTCTTCGGGAAAATTGCCTGGACCAAGACAAGAATATGACAGTTGCTTTTCACTTGTTCCGTTGATTGTTAGCGTTTGATTTTGTCAGTTTTTATGGACTTCCTCTTTTTGAATTTGCCTTGGAGTTTGGTATTTTTGTTTTACTTTGCTTACCATATAATTATGTAATTAAAGTTTTCTGATACCTCATTAATTCCATTTTGATAATAGAAAAAAAATCAGAATTGCTTCCCATGCAGGACTTTATTATGCTTTTGTTTTTAATTTTTAATATTTTTTAACTAGGGCGGATCTAAAAAATGTTAGAGTTTCACAATCTAAGGACCAGAATAAATCTAAATTCAAATATAGTGAGTGCCCCTCTAAAACATACACACCCCTGCTTCTGGACCCACCAATGGTAACATTAATTAACACTCTGTACTCTTAAAAGAAAGAAATAACCCTTTACTTGAATCATTTGGTCAAGTAGTTCAAGTAAGTATACAAAAAAGCTGCAAACGTCATTTTTTACTGTTTTTTTTTTACAAGAGGCATACGTTATCAGAATAAATTAGTTTATTGCAATTGGAATATCGGCAAAAAATTTAATTTATTGCACTACTGTCTCATTTTATTTCTACCATAGGGTCAAATAGTATATGCTTTATGTGTATTTATTTTAATGTAACAAAATCCAATGGAGGACCTTCCTTAGAAGTGCATTGCAATCTATGCATTTTATTTACACACGAAAAAAAAAACAGGTTCAAAACTAACTCAAAAAGTTACCAATGTGTCTTGAATACTGACATCGTGTGCCCGCATTTATTTGCAATGTAAACTTTAGATGAGTCCTTACTGAAACAAAACGCAAAAGGACTGGACAAACTTTCGTTCAATAAAATATCTATTAAAGTTCCAGTAGATGTAAGTTTATGAATGTTATTTGAATCGCAGTCCAAGACGTATATATTACCAGCATTATCTGTTATCGTATTTCGTGGATAACGAACATTGGAAGAAACATAGGAAAAAACAGGACACCCATCCGATGTAATGCAATAAACGTTACTGCGGGATGAATAACAAATGTTCCCATTTGAGCAAACGAAAATGTACAAAATCCTGATCTGATCTTGTTTTAGATTAAATGTTCTTTTAGAATTTCCATTCAAGTCTAGGACCTGTATCTGTCCTTCGAGTGCTACGAATATGTCATCTTTTGATGCAGAAATACCCACACTTTCGCTCGTTTTCACTTCTAACCTTTTAAATATTTTACGCCTTTCGGTATCTAAGAACTGTATGAACGGTTCAAATCTACTAGACATAACAGCAGTTGTTGTTCCTGGTATTGCTACTATATCCCATGGTGCATATGGACAGCTGATAGCTGATTGGTAGGAATCGTTTGCATCACAAAAATATACCTTCTTCGTATTTACACCACAGAAAATTAATGTGTTATTGTCTGATATCGTGATGCCAGTTACTGCTTTCAAACCTTCACCTTTCATATCGATGTCGTAGAGATGGGTGAAAGAGGACATCTGGCGCGTTGGAACTACTGGAACCTGTGACTGGCGCTGCTTGTATGGGACAAATGGAATAGAACAAGGTGTTTCCTTTAATTCTATTGATCCGAGATCTGTTATTTTTTTCTTTTGAGATGCTTTCGACGAATGTAAGACTTGTGTCTGTAAACGATTCGGATAGCTGCTTAACTTTGTTTTCAATTTCATCTAAGACTGCTTTGGATGACTGAATTGAAACAAACGCTTGTTTTTCCGAACAATGATCTCTTACAAATTCTAATGCATCCTTTTCAGCTTTTGAAGATGTTACCAAGTCACCTATATCTTTTTCCTGTCGTTTCAACCTGGTTACGTGTTTGTTTTTCATTTCGGTTAGATGCTTGAGAAGCGATTCCTCTAAGGATTCCAATTGTTTGATGATATATTCTTTCATTTTTGCTATTTGTATCCGAATTTTTGTATCTTGTTGTTCTATTCGACTCTCGTTTTCCCTGCAATTGTTATTTAAAATTTCTAAAGCTTCTAAAACAAAGCTCAGCTGTTCCTCAGAATCAATGAACGATTGCGACTGTTTAGAATTCTTTGATGCAAGGTCAATGGATGTGACGTTCTTGCATGCTCTGTGATTTTTGGGCCAACATTCCTTACAACATAGTACATCATGATCAGCACAAAATAGTCAAAAGGTAAATGTTGATGCTTTGAACAATCATAGGATAGATTAATCATTTTCGGTATTTTACTTATCTCTACCAAATGGTGACTTCGAGAAATTTTTTGAACTTTGTGGGCCTCTGTACACTCAGAACACAGCGTTTCTTCACATTCGATACAATATTGGAATGCTATAGGAGTTAAACCACGTGCTGTACACGGTTCGCAATATTTGGCTTCCATATTTCTACAATAAAAATAATTACAAACTAAGTAATCAGGTAATAAAATAACGTATTTTCTAAAGGATTTTATTGAAAAGAGTATATCAGCACCAGATTAAGTACCCATAGTGTCTTTGTTAAGATAATCACAACAACGCTGACACAAAGGTGTAAAGGGCCGTTTTTGGCCGTATTTGGCCTCACCATCAAATTTCAGTTAATTTGTCATCTTGTAGCCCTGTACCACAGAACTTCTGAAAATGGTGGTATTTTGGGTCTAACGCGTATGTTCTGTTGCCTTTCAACGAGTGTAATGGTAGTGATAAACTCAATAAGTATTCTAAATATATAGCTTTAATAAATTCGAATTTTAAATTTAACCTGACTAGACATTCATACATTTGTATACTGTTTATATGTAACACACACTTTAATGCACATTTTTGTGGTAAAATCATTGTTATTGCTCCCAAGATACCAAACTTCGTTCATAGCGATGGCAATTTTTTTTTTATTTTGAAAGATTGATATGTAATATTTTGCATCAAAGCAGATAATAGTACCAAATCCAAGGATTAAAATCAATGCTTAATATTATCAACAAACAAAACTATGGATAAACAACTGATATATTTATGAAAACTTGGTAACGCAATGAACTTATTAAAGAATCCCTTGAAAAATAAAATGTATCTCATTGCTCCTATAGTGAAATCGCTAGTCATTACTTTTATTTCATGAATTAATACACGTACACAGTATATATTTACTTTTAATCATATGTATGTATTTTATGTCTCATGCTGACTCCGTTTTTGAGATGTAAATAGTAAAATAACGAAAATTCAAATTGGAAAGTCCCTTATCAGATGGCAAAATCAAAAGCTTAATTACATCAAACGAATCGAAGACAACTGTCATATTCCTGACTTGGTACAGGTATTTCCTTATGTAGAAAATGGAAATGAAACCTGGATTTATAGCTAGCTAAACCTCTAACTTGTATGACGGTCGCATAAAATTCCATTGCTATTCTTTTGTCTGGTTTACAATTATGGCTACCAACCGAAGTATTTGGACGTTAAATCCGATGACTCGTAAACAAATTCTTGCAACAACTCTTTGACGGTATGTAGGTGCATAAATGCACCGACGGTACTATGGGTCGTCATGAAATTGTAATGAAGTAAGTTAGCTTTTTTCATGGTCTGTTTTGATTTTAACATAAATATCTATAATTGACAAAGCAATAACTATTCCAAGGGAACAAATATTTTGCATCTACATTGTGTTTTCGGCATACAATCATTTACTAGCCAGATGTGGGTTAGAATATATTTATTTCAACTTAAATCATCGGAAATATACATTTGCTCAATCATTCGACTCAAAGTGAATTAAACAAAAAAAAATCAATTGTATTGTAAGTAGATTTGTTGTTTTAAGGATAAAAGATGTATACACATGGTATAAGCAATACATTTATTAATAAATGAGTACTGATTAAAGGGGAAGAAGGGGCTGCCTTGACAAATGATCTGTATTAAGGCTGGTACTTTATTTGACTATTTTTACATTTCTATTTTTTGGGATGAACAAAATTGCTACAGAATTAGTTCTATTTTATTTTCAATGCGGAAATCTAACAAATTTGGAAACACATCAAATACCAACGATATAGGCAAACGTTTACACGAATTTAACGTTGTCTTACAGAAAATACAATATTGAAGCAATTGATAGTTAGAATTTGAAAATTCATGTATTCCCATTTTTGTTGCATGATACATAGTCAGCGTTTTTTCGTAATAGAACATGCACATAATGGAAAAAATGAAATATTCTATTTTAACAAATTGATAATAAGTGAAATTACTTATGATTAATAAGATTACTTTAATTCAAAAAGAACAACAGAGATATTATGAACGGGATTGTATCAAACATTAAATACCCGAAAGGGAAACACGAGCCTTATAGAACTCATAGCAAAAGGTAAAATTATATTGTATCTATTGTGTTGTTTTCAAATATATTAACAAGCATATCCTTTTTTTTAATTCTATAAGTCGGCGAAAGTTTTATTTGTACAAAAATTCTATATATAATGTACATGCGCTGACGATTTGTAGAATATAGCAGTGACACCGTACTGAAAAAATGTGAATTTGAACAAAAAAAAAACAACATATTTATTATATGTGCATGTAGTACTACGTAAATGGCCATTGTCATTTAATCGAATTGAAATCAAATAAATATTAAGAAATTTTATGGAAAACTGAAAGTTTTTTCACTATATATGACACCTGTTGACATGGTCACCTGTTGACATGGTCAATAATTTCACCATTGTCTTTTGTTAACGGTGAAAGAAACAGAATGGTTCTTTCCGAAATTTTTATATATCCCTGCAACAGAAAAACAGTCTCATGAATGTGTATTAAGCTTCAGGTGCTCATCTAAAGTAGTTAACTTTTAAGATTTCCAAGCATTCATTACCGTCTGTTAAAACGTCAAACGAATAAGATTGACATAATTTCCTACTCGCACGATAGCATGTACTTTAGAGCTTTATTAAATCATTGTTATCTGGTTGGACAATAGCTAAATGAGTTTTAAAGATAAAAAAATTATACAAATAATCCCGAATAATAATCATATAAGAAAAGGCTAGGTAATCTAAGCATTTAGCGTGTTTACGGGGAAGAATACTTAAATTTATACCTAAGTTGCTCTTATAAATTTGTCTACAGTTTTCGGGTAGTTTTGGACCATGCATGTAGCGTGCACATTTCCGTAAAATATTACGAAAAAATAGTTTTCGGTGCTATTTTTACAAATAAAGGTCGCTTTCGTGGCTCTATTTTGTCGTTATAAAACGTGTTTTTTGCCTAAAAGAAGATGTTTTCTTCAGTTATGCATAACATTGGATAATTTACATTTCTGACTGTTCCAAACAATTCTAAGATTAATGCATTTTATCGTAATCACTTCTCTTCAACACACCAAATCTTAACCCATCTTAAGTATCTCCACTGGTGTTGTTAATTTTCGTTTAGCATAGTTTGTCTCTTAATCAGTATGCATTGGTCTGTATATCATATCTGTATTTTTACAAGTCTAAATTGAAAACAACGTTCAAACTTATGATTGCGTTGGATAAAAACTGCAATTTTTATACGTGTGCATGCAAAACAAATTTCTTGTTAGAGGGGTCTAAATACAGCACAAACAACATTTTCCAAAAGACCAAAAAAGTGAAAAAGTATATTTTAACAAAACGCATTTGACTAACAGGTCGAACAACAAATGTTCTTAAACCCTGCTAACTGCCATTGGCAATTGCCAAATAAACGGATCACCGATGTAATAAATGGATCTTAATTATAAATTTAATACTAAACAGAAAACAATAAACTTGCGGAAAAGATGGTATACCGCAAACAAAAGGTGCAAAGGTTTTTGAACACCATATCCGGATTTCGACAATTAATGTCTCTTCAGTGATGTTAGGAATCGAAACGGTATTTGGAAAGCCATACAATTTACCTCAATTTAGGATAGACTTTTGAATTTTGAGGAGTCAAAATAGGATGAACGGATCATATAAACCATAAGGCAAATATAATACAAGCCCAAACGAAAAAATATAAACAAGTCTAAATTGAAAACAACGTTCAAACCTATGATTGCGTTGGATAAAAACCGCAATTTTTATACGTGTGCATGCAAAACAAATTTCTTGTTAAAGGGGTCTAAATACTGCACAAACAACATTTTTCAAAAGACCAAAAAAGTGAAAAAGTATATTTTAACAAAACGCATTTGACTAACAGGTCGAACAACAAATGTTCTTAAACCCTGCTGACTGCCATTGGCGATTGCCAAATAAACGGATCTTAATTATAAATTTAATACTAAACAGAAAACAATAAACTTGCGGAAAAGATGGTATACCGCAAACAAAAGGTGCAAAGGTTTTTGTACACCATATCCGGATTTCGACAATTAATGTCTCTTCAGTGATGTTAGGAATCGAAACATATATATATATATTTAAACAGGGCAGTACAATCAGCAAATATTCCTGCAGAAGACCAGACTCATATTATAATTGATCATTCTCAAATAGCTTATACAATTACGTATCATTAATTAATATTGAGATGTTGACCCATGCTGTGTTAGTCTGTTGATCAGTAATTGTCGTTTGTTGGTGTGGTTCATAAGTGTTTCCCGTTTCTCGTTTTTTTTATGTAGATAAGATTGTTGGTTTTCCTGTTTGAATTGTTTTACACTAGATATTTTGGGGACCTTTATAGCTTGCTGTTCGGTGTGGGCCAAGGCTCCGTGTTGAAGGCCTTTCTTTGACCTATAATTGTTTACTTTTTATACATTGTGACTTGAATGGAGAGTTGTTTCATTGGCACTCATACCACATCTTCTTATTTATAGAGTCTGCATTCATTCCACATGTTTCATTAAACATATAACTTATCATAATTAATGTAGTTTTGTCCTAAATTCTTATTTAATTACATTCCCACAGTGGTAATACTTCAAATTTGCTATATTGTATTGTTTCGTTTCATTCTGTATTAATTATCATATTTATTAAAGATTTCTTAACCTCCTAAGATGTATCTTTCATTTCAACATTTCAGGACTAATTGATCACGTCATACAGAAAAACATAAATTCAATTTAGTAACTTAATCGTTCAGGTTAAAATGAAGTAATTTTTTACATAGGCGACAATGGTAGCCTTTTTGGGTTCTGCGTTTTCACTATAAAAGATCCGTTGAAAAAAACTGTCAAATTCTAAATATTCAACACCTGATGGTGTCATTGATGAATATCTTAATTGAGTTGTGTAGGAAATGGTAATTTATAAACATATTTATAATTATATATCACATCACCTACTTTTATATGCGTGTACCAGTTAGTCCAGTCAATCTATTCAGAAAATGTTTAAACATAAATAACATTGCAACAAAAACTGCTTGAAATTTTTTGTGTCCGGAATGTCATCACATTTGATATTCTAAAAGTCTACCACGATAATAGCGGTGAAAATTGATGATTTTTGTTTTTGCAAGTCAATGAAAACTTCGAAATTTGAATATTCATGTCATTTGCGAAGCAACATATTCTATAACCATATAACTCTATTTGAAACACCACAAACATGATAACATAGTGAAACTGACAAAATTTCATGATCAGGAATTAGTATTTAAAGTCAAAAAGTAAGATTTTATCCTTAAAATCTCCGAAAAATAGGAAGTCGGAAATGTTGTCAGATGTAAATCTATTTAAAACATCACAACATAAATGAATAAGGAAACTTGATGAACAAAAACAAATATTTTGAGGCAAAGGGTCAGATTTCTTTCATGAAATCTCCGAAAGCAGGAAACCGAAAATTTATCAGATGAAATGCAAATTAACGTAAGGATTGTTTTATCAATATTTTTCCAAATAAATATAGAATAAGTTAAAATATCTAAAAAATTGAAAACAACACGTTTAATAATTTCATGAGTCCGAAAGTTGAAACCTTACTTTCTTTATAATTTCAAAATTCATAAGCAGACAATTTTAGAAAGTTTGTTATAAATCATGTCAGTACCGAAGTACTGATACTGTAAATTCAGAAATTATTGCGAGGTTTTTATTAATGCGAATAATGCGACTCGGTTAGTATCGCAATAATAAGAACTCGCATTTAGATAGCTAAACCATTGATCTATATGTAGATTTTTCTAAAATCGCAATAATTGAACTCGCATTCTAGTCCATTTTTGAAAAATCGCAATAATAAATGCACGCAATAATATCTGAATTTACAGTAGTCCACCAGCAGAGGTATCGACCCAGTGATGTAAATAATTGAAAACAACACGTTTAATAATTTCATGCGTCCGAAGCGCTTTTCTGGATTTACCTTCATCAGGAACACTCAAAGCCAAACATTTGAAATCCGAGGGATGTATAAGTACCGAAACAGTTGAAGAGCTATATGACAAAAATACCTAAAACAAATAGCCAAATTCATCTAAGGTCAACTTTGCCTGAGAGAGTTGAAACCTTAGTTTCTTTATAATTTCAAAATTCATAAGCAGACAATCTAAATTATATCTCATGAAAAAAACTATTCATATTATGTATGATATTTAAGATTCCTTCATAAGAAAATCATCCCATACTGAAAAATTACGTAATCATTAAGAAATAATGCCGCAGATCCCTCTATGATTTAATCAGTTTTTCAAAAGTAGCATTAGATCGGCATCAGTTTAAATAGAAATTAAACCTAGTCCTTCAACAAGTACCAAGCTGTTATTTTACATACATGATTTATAACAATGTTGGATGTAAAATTTATAACCCATTCTTCATTTGACAATCTTTGAACATGAACACTGTGCGAAAGTCTTCCATATTACATATTTAAAAACACAAACAAATTTCACTGCATCAGTCATCAGAAAAGAAAATAATCAACCTCCAACACGAGACTGTGAAATATCAAGGCTTAGATCTAATCCATAAAGACATGCTATTACATTGGATCTCTACATCCTCTAAGACCGAGAGGTTATACTAAGAATACGGAATTAAAATATCGTTCACCATCTAAATTGAATTGGGAGTTTGAGTGTCGCCAAGTAACATAAATTGTTTTTATCCTATTGGGAAATATATTGTTACTTGAGAAATCTAATACAAAAACCTTTGATTTTAATTTCAATAAATGTATAAATATAGATTTAGGATTCTGAATCGCGATGGTACTCCGAATCGCGATGGTGACGCTGAAGTGAGACGGTTTTCAAGTTGAAGTGTGTTTATGATCACGCTGAAGTGCAATGATGACGCAATCGTGTTAATAGCTAGCGCTGAAATGCATTTGTGGTAACGTTGAAGTGTGATGGATAAAATAAACTATATTCAAATGTTTTTTATGTTCACATGTCAATGTAGAATGTAAATTTGTTTATTAGAAGCAACTTTTCGGGTTTTTTTTTTAAAGTAAATCATCGAGAGTGTAACACGTTTTATTTGAATCAGTCATGATAACTAGTCATTTCATTTCCTATCATAACTGGCTTGAACAAAAATAAGCCGACTTTTAATTAATCGTTCAGAAATTTACCGCGATAGAAGTAACATGCGAAGTTTATTTTCAATTAAAACTAGTACTGTGGATTCATTATTTTTCGTTGGATACCAATTTTCGTGGATTTCGTGGGTACAGGTGAACCACGAATTTAAATGTTCAACGAATTCCAAATTTTCCATTGGCCTGTAAGCAGACTATGGTAAAACCACGAAATTAAATATCCACGAAAGTGTGAGTTTTTCTCAATCCACAAAAATTGGTACCCACGAAAATAAATGAATCCACAGTATTGATTTCGACGTCATAGTTGTATAAAATGCAAATACTTCTTTGTTAGTCAAAACGAAACGAAATAAGCAGCAAATCTATTAGACTGCGTAGATATGTTATGATTGCCAATGAGGCAACTCTTCGCCAGAGAACAAATGACGTAGAAGTTAACAACTATGAGTCACCGTAGGGCTTTCAACAACGAATACAACCCATACCGCAACGAAATAAGCACAGAAATAACAAATGTTAAACAATTCAAACTTAAAAACTAAATATCTGATTAATCTACAAACAAATAAGATATACAGCAAAAAACCACAACCACTGAATTACATGCACCTATAAAATGTGGCGGGATTAAACATGTTTGCTGGCGTCAAACCCTCCCTTAACCTGGGACTTTGGCGTAACATAAGAACAAACTATAAAAATCACTTGAAAAGGGCTTAACTCATCAAATCGATACAAAGCACACAAAAAAAGACACAGATCTGAGGGTACTCACAGTTACTTTGTTGGCATCTTTGTTAGAAATATATGTTTGTTTGCAGTTTTTAATCAGTTGTGCTGTATATCTGTGATGTATCTTTACAAAGTTATGGCTGCTGGATCCCAATTATTGTCACTTGATCCTATTATGTCTGTTTGAATTGCTCTCCCTATTTTGTCAATATAACAGAACTCGAAGCAACTGTCATACAAGTGGGAGTTTTAGCTAACTATAAAACCAGGTTTAAACCACCTGTTTCTTTGGAAAATGCTTGCACCAAGTCAAAAATATGTCAGCTGTTTTTCACTCTGTTGGTTAAATACGTTAATACGTTTGATTTTGTCAGTTTTTTCAGACTTCCCCTTTTCGAATTTACCTTGGAGTTTGATATGTTTTGTTATGCCTTTTTACTGAAAGCTAGTTCAAAAAAGTCAATAACAACATATAGAAAAGACAAAGATATCAATCAGTACACATTCAACATCCGATGGATTTAGTGCTTAAAACGTCATTTACAGTCAGAGAAAAACATGACCCTGAACAATGCCAAAATACAGGTATCGACAGATTGTAGGATCGCGAATGTACATATGTGTTTAACAATAACATTTAGTTTGGTTTTAATTTATAAATAACAAAATTAATATATAAACCGATAAAACAATATTCAAAGATATGATTACAGTGTTGAATTGGTAACCTTTTAGAAAAAGTATATTAAAGGATCGATAAGTTCACCCGGATCGTATCAGGAATTAGATATATCACCTTAGATGGTTTTTACTGCAACTGGGGAAAATATGAAAATGTTTGGTACGGACACGAAATCTCTCCTTTTAGAGCTGCTCTATTATGGTCCAATCACAGATCACCATATCAAACACTACAGCCATATTACAAGACAAAACGACATCGGAAACACAACTATCTTATTTGGGAAACAAAAAGAACAATAGACTGGTGAATGTCTGATGTTCAAATTCCAGTCGCAAATATTGTCATATTCCACATTGAAACAAGTTAATAGGTGGTTACAAACTTTTAATATTACGGAAAATGGGCGTCATTGGTTGAGACGGGAAGCAGCAGATCCTCTCATTTTCGAAATCTACAGAAGTTTTTTTACGCATGAGCGTGGCATTCTCTAAATACATTCGGGTCCGCATACAGGCTATCCGTATTATGATATTCCGGTAGACGCTGAACTCATAAGCCGAACACTTTACAGATAAGTTACAAAAGCAGAATTACGTCTTTATGCAGCAACATTAAAGAGACCGATCTCTCATTAAGTTTAAAACGTTAACTGATGACATATGTAACATATGTTACATGAACTATATTCTTGTATTTCAATGTTGCAAACACCTTTTTGTGCGTTTAGAAATTTATGAAAACTAAGGTTTCAACTCGCTCATTCAAAGCTGACAAATATTGTGTTTTCTATTTCATTTAAGACTTCTTGGTCATATAACTCTTCCAATGTTTCGGTTCTTATACAGTCTTGGTTTTCAAATATTCGGCTTTGAGCGTTCCTGATATAGGTAAATCCAGAAAAACGCTTCGGACACATGAAATTTATAAAACGTTGTTTTCATTTTTTACAGCACTGGGTCGATACCGCTGCTGGTGGACTATCAGTCCCCGAGGTTATCAACAGCTAACTAGTCAATACGTTGGTATTCTGTACTGACATGATTTATTAAAAACCTGCCTAAAATTGTCCGTTTATAAATTTATGAATTATAAAAAAACCTAAGGATTCAACTACCTCAGGCAAATTTGACCTTATGTGATTTTGGCTATTTATTTAGGTCTTTTTGGTCATATAACTCTTCAACTGTTTCGGTTCTTATACATTCTAGGATTTCAAATATTCGGCGTCGAGCGTTCCTGCTGAAGGTAAAACCAGAAAAGCGTTTCGGACTCATGACATTTATATAGTATTTTTATTTTTTAAGTACATTAAAGTTATAGATGAAATAATGATATAAAAAGGGTACTTACGAATGATATTCAAACAATATACGATTACCACTTCATCCTATTTTATATGGTAAACATACTTATTGCAAGATGATAATTCTTTTAACGATTCTTTTATTTCAACAATACACATACATATATCATCGATACATAAATGCCATCAATGTTTTGTAGACAATAATGAATGCAAATTTATATATTGACTAATAAAAAATATATTCCTTATAATGATTGCACTTATGAAGATTAAAATTCACCATTACACGTCATATAGACAATCGCACATCAGCGAAAGGACCATAACACTTCGGT